ATCTATATTTCAACCATCACTTAATGATATCTGAAGCATGAACTAACAGTAATATTTCCGATCTATGTATATCTCTTGATAACTATTTTCTATATAGAAGGGATAGATTAAAAAGATGAGGCGGAGATGCCTTACTTACACACACTGTAAACTAAACTCACTACTACGTGATATGCCTGAACTAAACAAACTGAAGGATTCGTTTTGGATTGTATTAAGGCCGTCGAATTCTGTTACCTTACAGTTCGGCTGTGTTTACCTTCAACCTAACACATCAATAGATGACATAGCAGTATTATTGGAGGTATTCACACTAGCATCATCCCTTCCATTCACAAGCAAGCTTATTTGTAGTGAGTTCAACATGCCCGAAATTTCTTGGTTCCCAGTCGAGGCGCCGAAACGTTATAAATCATTTATTGAGCTTGGACAATGGACTCAGTATGTCAATAGCCCTACCAGACATCAAAATACCTTAGATTTATTCTTTACCAGTGGCCCCATCTCCAATACTGTGTATATTGGAAAAACGTTTAGAGGTTGTGATCACAACATTGTCAGACTTAATATACAACCGGTGGACGTTGAACCGTAACACTTCGTAGAAACTATCCCAAGGTTGATTGGAATAACTTCCACAGTTACCTAAGGAGCACTGATTGGAGAACTTTCTTTACTGCAAACAATGCCGACACACTAGCAAATATATTCTATCTCAACATCAGAAGTATCATCAACAAAGTCGCACCTTTAGAATACTGTAGACCTACATTCTCTAAAGATTTCTACATACCGGTCGGTACACGAAGACGTCTTCAAAGACATTGTACTCGATTCCACAACTTTAATGACTTTTCCTCTTTAGTGACGATGACTGAAATAATTATCCGAACAGAGGCAATAAGTACACAAAAAGCAGTCGCACAGAAAAAACGTGCAGTCGAACTTAACAATAACTCGTCTGCACTCACCATACTCCTTTAAAATAAGCTTAAACGTTCCAAATCGAGAGGGAGCATCGTCATTGAAGACAAACAGGTATACGAAGATCCTAAACTTGATACGGAAGTATTTAGTGAACACTTGTTTCTCACTAACTAAAGAAAAACCACTGAACGATTCAGAACCAATCCCAGTACCTCCCTGTGAAATTACTTATGTAGACTCCAATGTACAAAATATCTCTAAGGCAATTAGTACATTGAAACACCCCTACACTGATGGACCAGATGGCATTCCAGCTAGTATGGTAAAACCTGGAGATGATGATATGTGTGTTTTGCTTCTCAAACTATTTGCGATATCACTCTACAGCGTGGTACCCTACTGCCTGGAAAACTACATATATCATTTCCAAAATGAAAACGGGACGTGATGCAAACGTTGACAATTACCGACCCATAAACATAACTTTAGTGGTATCTAGAGTGATGGAAAAGGTAGTTAAGGCGGATGTAGTCCAACATCTACTTACTAATAATCTCACCTCGACCTCCAAATCATACGACACTTGCCTAGTAGACTACCTGAATGACATTACTCAGAAACGAAACAAAGGACTCCTTGTATCAGTCCTGTTCTTAGACTTCAAGAAAGCCTTTGATAGGGTCCCACATAAAAGGCTTCTCGTCCAACTTAAGTCTTTCGGAATAAACAACCCACTGTATTCATAGTTTGCTTCTTTCTTAACATATTTTTTTATTTTATTTGAATACATAGATATTGGTACAAGAAGGCACCAAATAAATATGCACCACACAGATCTCATTTGATTTGTGTGAGGGCTGTGATACTGTCCGGGTGACCAAACCAAAGCAGGTAGTTTTCTTAGGAGGCCGCACCCAGAGCCTTCTACCTGAATGTCTAATCACAAGGCAGCGGAGCATTGAAAGGAGATGCAGTTCCATGGTAGCCGGTGACTAACGATTGGTTCATGCGCCATTTATCCTTTTAGAATACTGGGGCCCATGTGCACCATTGGTTTGGGGTCCGGTTAAAGCGCCGGACATTCGGTTTCCGTCCTCTCATTTTTGTAAACAACACCCCCGTCACGAGAAGGCAGTGAGTAGGACTTCCCTGGCAGAGGCTATATACGCATGGCCATGTGAGAGCATTTCGAGAGGGAGAGCGGACTCTCCCCACACTCGGCCGTACCAGGGCATTTGGAGGCTGTCTCTCATCAACTAGACCAATAACTAGTGGAGTCATCCGGGGAACCGTATTAGGTCCACTCTTGTTTCGTATGTATATAAACGATATATGTAACAACATAAAATTTGGGAAGCCATACTCATATGCTGATGATCTCGAAATAGTATATAACTATAAGCCTGAGACCCTAAGCGAAAGTCTACCCCTGATCCAAAATAACCTCAGTAACTTAACTATCTGGAGTGAAAAATGGCAATTACCATTTAACCTCAACAAGTGCGGGATCATGCACTTTGGAAAGCACCCCTATAAACTGCAACTTCATTTAAATAAAAGTAGAGTCCAGACACTCAAATCAGTATACGATCTAGGAATTCATTACACAAGAAGTCTGAACTTTAAAGAACATGCCTCATCTATTATTTCTAAATGTAGACGGCAAATTGCTTTCATAATGAGAAATTTCTCCACAACAGAGGCTAAGCTTACTCTCTACAAAATATGTGTACGACCTTCCCTGGAATACCGCTGTTTTATCTTCTCTAATATGAATACCACAGATAAGATAAGAGTAGAAGACCTTCAAAGACGCTTCATACGCCAACTTCTAGGAAGTAACTCGAATGCCGATTACACAGATAGATGTAAGCACCTCTCTTTAGAACCTTTATGGGGCCGTAGGCTAAAGAATAATGTAATATTTATATACAGAGCGATATATGGACTCTCATTTCTAACCTCCTGCCCAACTATGACCCACGACCCAGCCTATAGACTAGGAAACAACTCATATACACTACTTGCCGTAAAACACCAAACACAAATGCGTTGTAAGTTTTCTACAGTACGGTACAGTTTATTGTGAAACGGGTTGCCAATGTCTATCCGTAACTGTGACACATTTACCAAATTCAAAGGGCTAATAACCCTGTTTTTAGACTCTAAAGAGCTTCAATCTTTCCTTGAACTCCCGCCAACCAATGGGACACTTTATTATGGACCGCCTAATGTCTAGACGGAACACGGATACAACGAGCCCTATCGTTTTTAATATGAGTATAACAAAATTACAGAACATATAGTTTAACCTCTCCTATTATCCATTGATTATTATTCATGGCCTTATGCTCCTAACCCTTACTTTCAGTTCCTGAATCTCTCTGCCCAATAAATATACATGATTCTTCCTAAGTGCTAGTATCCTTTTTTCTATTGTAAGTAGACAGTTAACTCACTAGTCTTATAAATGCTGATCTACCTAGGCCGATCATACGAAGCTATTAGTCCTATTATCTTTAAACCACATAATCTCGCCCGTTTTTTTAACTTTCACGATTAGTTATCTTCATAGCAGTGTGATATAATAAATGGATATCTAACCCATAATACAAACGCTTGAACTATCTGATTTGCTTGTAACATGGAACTAGTAGAGACAGCCTCCTTGATGTAAGGAACGGGTGACCTCGTCTAGCACCATCCTTAAAGCCACAGATGTTCCAAGGCGATGTAGGGTCGCGATTTCTAGGAGCCCCCCTCTTCCCATGAATCTATTATCAACCATCAGTTGCACGTCGCAACGCAACTTTCCTGAAGCGCGCCAACTGTGAAACTGACTTAGACCATCTACATTCATATGTTATCAAACATCAACACAGCTGAGTACGAAATCGTCAGACATAGGAGTTCAAATTTGTTGGCCTCGAAGTTGGCGAAAATTCTCTTTCACCATAGCCACTGCTACAATGCGAATCTAGGTGAGTAGAGGGCTTGTTTAACTAAATAGAATATCTGATAATATAATTATTACTACTTATTAACCGGTTTAGTACAAGGATCTGAGACTATACGTGCATAACATCTTTCAGATGAAAGGTGTTCAGTTATTACGTGCAAGATTGACGACCATTTGAATACTTGTATTACAACAAGTGTAATCCAAAGATAAAGGCGTATCAATGTCAACTGCTTGGAGATTATATAAGATATGTAGTAAACGAAGTCCTCTCCAGGCATGTATAAACTAATAAGTGTCCGTCAAAATTGTCTCCATGATCTCAGTACAAAACTGTGATGCTCATAAATAATTGAATTATTGTACGAACTAGAAATCCCATAGATAAAGCAATCAAACCAGAGGAAAGTAGGTGAGCGCAAAGGCACATATTCTATTCGAGATCAGAAATCAGGCAGTCATCAAGTACAAAGCAATCACTGATTCATAAAAGAACAACTAAAGTACACCCTAAAAACGATTAAGACGAGAATGTCTCAGACCACGTGAAAACTGTTATCACTTCCGGATTGCGCATCATAAGTAGTAAAGCATTCAACTATCGTAATATTTGTCTACTCATTGCAATCAAGACACTTAATTCACTATGTCAAGTATTGTATGAGTCCGATTGAGCGTGTGTTCCCACATCAATCTTTAATCTGGTGAGACTTAATTCATTTGGCAAAAATTATATACTCAAATGTATGTGATCCTACCAGTTCAGAAGAAAGTTCAAATTTCTTCTAACAACATGGATCGGGTTGGGAAAGTTGTTGCTCTTGAAATTCTAATCACTGCTTAAGACACCTAAATGTAGTTCAATAACCTTCATCACGTCATCCCTACATTCAGTTTTTTGACTGTGATAAACTAGCTGTATTTGATGTGCATTATTATGTGTAACAAGATAATAATGGAGAAATCCAAAGTTATGGTTTATTATACTGACTTTATTTTCCATTAAAATTACAATGGCCGTCAATAACAAGGTGGAATTCAAAGCTTGATGACAATTTTATTTCCCAGCTAATAATAACGTCAGTGTTCAATACAATTCGTGTTTACTTCAAGTTTATATAATTCCTGGATGCATTCTAGCGACATCCTGAATTGATCCACAATTCTTTATTAATTCCCTCAGATTTTGCAAATCAGACTGTTTACCAGCTTCGGGGTACGGTATATTAACTGGTATATCCACATTCAAGAATCTACACAAGGGTTCCCATCCATCTCCAAGTCGATGTACCAGAAGACGTGTAGATGGTATATTTTCCTGAAGAGTTTTGATATGTTCTTCGTAGCATTCAAGTAACATTGCATCATCATCAAAATCAATATCATTCTTTTGAAATGCTAGTTTAAACGAATCAGTAGCAAGTTTGTCTAAATCAAGAGGGATTCCCGAACGTCGTTTCGCTTCCTCGAATTGCTTTCTACGCGGACCATCTGATTTTGGCATTATAACTTGCCGAAAACTGGTCAACCAATCGTTTTTATCGCGTACTGTTAGCACAACCTGTATAAAACGAGATTTATGGTGTAATAACATATTATCGATATAGAAATAACACATATTAAAAGTCACTCAAAGATCTATACCGAAACAGTATTTTGATCCATTTTATATATCACGTTTGTTTGAGCTATTGAGAAACTATTCGTGGTAACTCCACCCTCAAACTTCAATGTTATCAGCCCACAAATATTTAATTTCGGCAGTAATGTTGAATTATTCATTACAGTTTTATAATGAACAGATATTCGCGACTTTTGCTAAGTTTACAACTTCAGCAATATTTTGTTTGTTTAGTACACTCATCAAAGTAACCTCAGTACCCCGATATCACAGTAGGCCATTTCAGGACAGGTATTACCGCGAGGTGAAAATTTGGCGTCAAACATGTTTCACCATGCCCGTAGGACCTATAACAAAAACACAGATCAAAGAGATTTTTTATCCACATTGTTATAGGCTGAGTTATTGATGATGAGTGAGTAAAGAAGAAAGAATGAGGAGGCTTTGGAGAAATAATAATTTTTAATTCAGGAAGTTCTAATGTTGTCCAACTAATAATTTTATTAACAAGTTACACATTGGTTGAATTGGTATACTAAGAATCGTTTGCTAATTAAAGAAGCAATTGAATATCCCAGTACGTGTCATTAAAATACTATGTGAATAAAGTACATAATTACAGTAAAACATAACACAAGATAATTGTTACTTGTTCTCAAACAATGTGATATATATACATGAATCGAATAGTAGTTTCAGAGATCTCATTTATTTGAAATGATCAAATCCAGTGATTATAAGCATCCACATAATAAAAACTCTCAACCCACCTTTGCGTTAGGGTATAAAGTCATCATTTCTTTGTACAACCAACACGCGTGGGTATTAACCACAGATCCATAACCAGTCAATATCTCACTTAAATATTTATGTATCTTCTCTTCACGACGCGTCGTTCGTACCTCGTCGACAAGCATTTGCCATCTAGGAATGTCACATTGTTTTCTGGTCACAAGTTCATAACCATGATAACAAGGTTGAGTGTAAATTATTTCCAATGCCTTTTTCATACTCAACGTTCCGGTTCTTGGTAGACCAGCTCCAATAACCGACAATGATGTTGGAGTTTCCGACATAATTTCAACTGTGAAAAGAGATATGAATTTAAGAAAAAAAAACAGTGCATCACAATGTTATACTGTTAGAACATCAATCAAATTTTACGGATTAGTGAAACTTATTTCAAACTACCTTAGTACACGAGGGAGTATTTCACAAATATGAAATATCTAACCACGCATTCCCTTACTGTGATATTTATATATGAAGAATGACAGTCGAACTACACTAATTTGTACTAGATTAATGAGCGTTATCAACGAATACGAATCACATCATTTTGGATAATAAATCAAGGTAGCTTCAAAGTGAAAAACTATGTTAATTTGAATCTTTTCTTCTTTTAAACTTAAACATTCAAAATATTTGACCCAGACAGCCAAAACTAGACGAACTTGCTCAGATGACACTACAAATGGTCATCCAGAGTCTATTGAAATGATTCAATGAGAAATGAATTCATACTTCCATTCTATAACAAATGCGATCAACTCTAGTCATACAGTGAATGGAACCAATGTATTCTCAATTATCTAACTAGTATATTCACAATTTTTCAACAGTGTTCATTTCACCTCTCAGGTACTCCTGTTAACAACCTTGGTCAAATTAGTTCATAATAAATTAACGTGTACCTGTCACAGCAGCTGCATTGGCCGAACAGAAAGGAGGGCATATGTTAGGTTTTTTGAACATGTTTCAAAAAGCCTCAGAACATGAGAAAAAAGACTCTAAACAGTGCAATCACTAAATATCACCTTGATACAGGACATCAGGTCGATACCCTAAAGTCATTCAAGGTAATTAGTAAGCAGCCAAACTCCAGTCTTCTGAAGTATGCTGAAGCCGTTGCTATCAGACGCCAAAAACTTGATTTATGTGTTCAAAAAAAGATGGTTATTAATCTTTCCTTGCCTCGGTGACTAATATTCCTTCTCTGTATCTTAACATATATATTTTTCCTTCAAACTCTTTCTTGCATTTATTACATCATTGAGTTTTATTCCAACTATCTTACGAATTAATAATCTTATTTTGTCAACTGAACTGTACTCATTTTATTCCTATCAATGTTTACTTGTTTCTAGCCGTTTGAACTGTTGTCACAATCAATGTTGTAGAATGTTCTTTCACATAAGGTATATATTTACAATATTCAGTCTATTAAATTTATTTACGCCCTTGCTATACAATACGAATGTGTCTTCAATATAACTTCCAATCGAACTCTTTCATGTAACTTAGACCCATTGTGTAATTATGATTTTAAATATCACAGGTTGTGCGCAACTGACGAGAACCAACGAAATAAAAATGAATTCATGCTATTCTGCTAGAATGTTTGTTCTTTCTCTTTTCTAAATGATAAAGGGGACTATGTGTATGAGACATAATATCTGAGTTAGTTCGTTAGCCAGGAGAAACATTACAAGCAAAAAGACAAATTGTTTCGATCGTTGTTCCGTTTGTTTTCACTCAATGATGATGATCTACATTCTTAATTTGGCTAGACAAACATTTAAGATGAAAGATGATTTTACGCAACGGTCATTTCTACTAAGTTGATTTAATCTAGCATTGATGGACATAACAAGTCGAAATGTTTGCGAATCTTATGAGGTTGCTTTTAATTATTCTTATTATTACTTGTAGTTGTAATCTAATAAGTGTCAATAGACAGAAAACATACGATTTTTACTGATAAAACTCATTCGTGAAATCCTTTTATCATTTTTATCATTAACCAATTTGAATGACCTTGTTTCGTCTTACGATTTTCATTCATTTATTTACATATCACTGTTGCGTAATTAAGTGTGATGATTATTTAACTTAGAACAGTATTATTCGACTAGACGCATAATTTTATTAGTCGAATTCATGAATTAATGCAAGCCGCGTCTCTGTTGAAAACTTGGGGACATTGAAGGGCGGATTCGTCCACGTATGGGTCTCTCCAGCAGTGTGCTGCTACAAACCCGCCTCCAGGTTCAAACCCGGGACCGTCGGTCTAGAACGCAAACGCTCAACCTCTAGACCGCTAAGCCAACATGTTGATGTCCAACATAGATCAACCCATGCATGCGATACCGTGGATGAGCACTGCTGAGTAGTCCTACACTAGCTTGATAGGATCACTCAGTACCTCCAGGTTTTCAGCTGTGGCAAGTCTCTCCCTCCACGTTTCCTTTCTTCTCGTGGTCGATTAGTTGGGGTTTATTGAGAGGAAGCACGAATATAATGGACAGATTAGAAGAGGTCATACAATTTTGAACTAAAAATATGACCTAGCTTTTCTTTCCCATACACCGCGACAAATGCAGTGATTAGCCTAAATGTGTTTAAGAGGAAAGGCGAGATCCTGAAATACAACACAGACTGCACCAACTCGGGAAATTCTGGTGAAGAAACTTCGAAAGAGTTGGAAATTCTTAAGTAACTGGTCAGCATCATCGATTAAAATAGAGCATCTGATGCAAAAGTGAATGCACGGATTGGCAAGGCAAGACCAGCATCTCCACATTCAAAGAACACATGAGAATCAAATCAAATGTCAACCAATATCGAAGTCAGAAACGTCAATACAAACGTCGAGATAGTTGTAAACTACCGAGTGAAAAATTGCACACCCACTTCAGCCATCATCACACAGGCACACCTGTTTATAAAGAATTGTCTACTTAAGACATTCCAGATCCCTTGACTGGATAAACTCAGCAACATCTTATTGTGATAGAGAATAAATCAGCCCATAGTTCAAAAGAAAATCAGAAAAACACTCTAGAGGTCGATAGAGCAAATCAAACTGCATAATGAGGTAGTCGCTAGCTTGTAATGCAGAAGACGGAAGGGTTAGAGAAAGACTGAAGGACGCACCGGTTCGGGAATCGCTGGCAGACATTACAAGAATAATTAGCAACAGGAAACAACTTGAATTGAGAGTCCAGCAGATAGTTGATTAAACAAATTTGATCAGTTGCTTTTTCCCCTCCATGCGGTACAATTTTACCAAACAGCATTTACGATGAAACTTCACATGGATCCCTCAGGAGCTGTTGCCGGTCTCTAGCCCGGATAAAGAAGGGGGTTTGGGTAGGGATTTAGCTACTTCATCCCGTAAGCAACTAAGTCACTAAAAAACGCTAACACGAAAAAATAGTTCGAACCATTTAAACCCTGTCCTGGAGGTTATAAGATCTTTATTTAGAAGAGTTATGATGTCTCATGATGAAAACCTAGGTTTGAGGTCCCTCCTTCTGACAACCAGAACAACCACTAATCTAGGTACGCGGAAGGCTCTTACAATGTGAGAGACCAGGAGGGGTATCCGACTTGCTGCAGAAATGAAACGGTACTACCTGAATGTGCTTGAAATCAGTAAAACACATAGGACTCAGATTAGACAACAAAGACTAGCTTCAGAAGAACCCGCTGTTATGCTTCGATCATGAAGAGAAACGATGCTTCACATACACAAGGAGTTACACTGATGCTATCCAAACAATCACAAAAAGCACTTATAGGATGTGAATCTCATCGACCCAGGATCATCAAAGTCTCCTTCAAAATAAGGAAAGAGGGCAATAAAATGTATGCTACTTAATGCTATGCGCCCACCAACGACTAAAATGAAGACGGTAAAGATCGATTTTACGATAAGCTGCAGTCAACCGATGAGAATTGCCCAACAAAGGACTTGACAATTTTGATGAGAGACTTAAATGCTAAGTTTGGAATGGACAACACCGAATATGAAGACATCATAGGATGACGTTCATTCACAGAAAAGAACGAAATTGATGAGAGATTTGCAAACCCATATGCCTTCAACAAACTGATCAGTTGTGGCAACACCTTCCCACATAAACGCGCTTACAAAGCCGCATAGATTTCACAGGAATATACCGTATAGGACCAAATCCACCACATCTGTATCAATAAAACTTCAGAAGGACAATGAAGGACGTGAGAACCTAGATAGAAGTTGATGTAGCTTCAGATCACCACTTGCTGGTCGTCAAGATATAACTGAGACTAAAGAAGCACAGGATGACGGAGCGGACATTGTCACAACTGTTTATTTCAGCCTTTCTTCGAGAAACTGACAGACTGGACGAATTCGAGATAGCCCTCATCAATAGGTTCCAGACTCTTCACAACCTACCTAATGGAAAGTTAATTTCCGTGGAGAACAACTGGAAAGTTATCAAGGACGCACTCACTTTAACATGTCATAAGGTTCTGGGCCACAAAAAGCAGCATCACAAGGAATGGATCACTTTTCATAGACTGGATATGATTCAAAAATGAAAGAACAAGAAGGCAGCAATCAACGTCAGCCGAACAAGAGTAGAGAAAACTAGGGCACAAGGTGAATACACGGAATTGAACAAGCAAGTAAATAGGAGCATCATAGTCGACAAATGAAAATATGTGGAAGACCCAGCAATCACAGCGGAAAATGCTGCAAGAGAAGGAAGCATGAGTCTAGTGAATGATACAACAAAGAAGCCCACTGAAAATTATAGAAAACCAGAACGAACAGTAAAAACCAATGAAGCTAAAGCAATCACCAACATTGAAGAACAACAAAACAGGTCGGTAGAGCAATTAAGAGAACTCTCGTGTACCGACATAATCGCAACACTACGGATCATTGTGACGCAATCAATTGAAAAGAAGTCATCACTCTACATCAACTTCACTGACCATGAGAAGGCATTTGATGGCATGGATAGGATAACACTCTGGAGGATTCTTCGTCAATACGGCGTGTCTGAGAACGTAATCAACATCATACGGAATTCATAAACTGCAATATCGTGCACGAATTACAGCTAACGGATTCGTTCAAAGTAATGACCGGTGTCAGATAAGGGTGCTCCCCCTCACCCTTTCTCTTTCTCCTGATGATCTACTGGGTTATAAAGACTTCAACATCTGTGGAGAGGCACGGGATACAGTGGACAGCTAGGATGCAATTGGATGATATAGGCCTCGCAGATGATCTGGCTCT